AAATCAGACACTGGTTGTCTATTCTCGAAGGTTCTGTGCCATGATTGTACTACCATATTATGTTGGCAGGAAATATCGTAGGCCAAAAGTCTTGTGGCTTGGTTGCTGTCCACATTTCTGTTTTGGTAACCTACAGAGTACCTTCCTGCACCCAAGAAGCTAGATTGTAGGGGTGAGGGCACCATGTAGTCACTAGATCAACTTTTCAGTGTATGATGAGTTTTATGGATGTTATCCTCAGTAATGGGGCCCTGCAGTCAGTTTACATAGAGCAACATTTAGTCTTAGAAATATCTTGGTTTGTTTGGGGATTTCCATGTGACCTCTCAGCCAACAACTCAATTGATTGCAATCCAGTCCCACTGTAAGAAGCCTCTTCAGCTACAAGAGATGGCCAGTTGGGACTCTGTATCCTCTGTTTCTATGAGTCGTCATTAGGACCACCTTCATAGATTCCATGAAGTTTCCACTGCATTAGATTTCCACCATCCTCCAAGCGCCCCCCAATCCAGTCATTTCTCCATACTTTCTTCCTCCACCTCATCCCTTCCACTTGAATGGATCCCAGTTGGCCTGTAAAATCCATTCTATTTCCCCCTACCAGGGAAATACCCATGTACCTCCTAAACCTCTTGTCTTTACCCATCCTATCTTGGTCTATGGATTATAGTTTTGTTTTCATTTACTTAATGGCTAATATCACCTTATAAGTAAATATATACCATATATAACTTTCTGCCTCCAAGTAACCTCACTCAGGATGATTTCTTTCTAGTTCCATTCATCTGCAAATTTCAAGATGGCATTTTTTAGCTACTGTGCAATACTGCATTGTGCAAATGTACTACACAATGTACAACATCTAGGTTGTTTCCAGTTTATGGTTATTATGAATAAATATTCAGTTAACATGACTGAATAAGTGTCCTTGTGGTAGAATAGAGTGCTCAAAAGTGGTATAGCTGGGTATTAAGGTAGCCTGATTACCAGCTTTCAGAGAAACTGCCATATTGATTTCCATCGTGGGTATACAAGTTTTCATTCCTACCAGCAATGGAGGAGTGTTCTCCTTGCTCCATATCCTAACCAGTATGAACTGTCACTTGATGTTAGTCATTCTGACAGGTGTGAGATGGACTCTCAAAGTAGTTTTGATTTGCATTTCCCTGGTGACTAAGGATGATGAACATTTCTTTAAGTGTTTCTCAGCCATCTGAGATTCCTCTCTTGAGATTTCTGTTTAGATCTGTTCCTCGGTTTTTAATTGGATTATTTGTGTTTTGATATCTGTATTCTTTATATATTTTGGATATTAGTATTTGTATTAGCCTTTTATTGCTGTGAAGAGACACCACGACCACAGCAACTCTTATCAAGGAACACATTTAATTGGAACTGGCTTATAGTTTTAGAGGTTTAATTCATTATCATCATGGCAGAAAACACAGCCGCATGCTGGCCGACAACATACTGGAGAGGTAGCTGAGAGTTGTACATCTTGATCAGCAGGTAGCAAAAGGAGACTGTTCCACACTGGGTTTAGCTTAAGAATATGAGATATCAAAGCCCACCCCCACCATATGGGCCAAACATTCAAACACATGAGTCTATGGGTGGGGCACACCTATTCAAACTACCACAGTCCTCTACCAGATGTGGAGTTTGTAAAAATATTTCCCGTTCTGTAGTCTGCTACTTTGTCTGATTTATGGTATCCTTTACCTTACAGAAGTCTTTTGGTTTCATGAGGACCCATTCATTATTTAAGTGTTGACCTTAATGTCTGTGCTAATGGTGTTCTGTTCAATAAGTTGTCTACGGCCCAAATGAGTTCAAGGCTATTTCCCACTTTCTCTTCTATTAGGTTCAGTGTATCTGTTTTTATGTTGAGGTCTTACTTGTGCATGGGAGATAGATATGGATTTATTTACATTCTTCTACATGCAGACATTCAGTTAGACCAACACCATTTATTGAAGATGATTTCTTTTTTCCATTGTGTATTTCTGGCCTCTTTATCAAAGATCAGGTATCTATGGGTGTATGGGTTTACATCTGGGGCTTCATTTCAATTAAATTTATCAATGTGTCTGTTTTCATGTCAACACCATGCAGTTTTTATTACTGTTGCTCTGTAGTACAGCTTGATGTCAGGGATTGTGATTCCTCCAGAAGGTCTTTTATTGTACAGGATTGTTTTAACTATCCTGGGTTTTTGTTTTTCTATATGAAGTTGAGTATTGTCCTTTCAAAATCTGTAAAGAATTACATTAAAATTTTGGTGGAGACTGCACCTACTGATCCATGAGCATGGAGGATCTTTCCATCTTCTGATATCTTCTCCAATTTCTGTCTTCAAAGACTTTAAGTTTTCATCACAAAGTCTTTCATTTCGTTGGTTAGAGTTATCCCAAGATACTGTATATTATTTTATGATTATGAAAGGTGCTGATTCACTGACTTCTTTCTCAGTAATCTGTCTCTTTTATATAGGAAGTGTAGGAGGGTTGCTAAGTTTTTGAGTTAAGCTTGTATCCAGTCACATTGCTGAAAATGTTTATCAGATGTAGGAGTTCCTGGTGGAATTTTAGGGTCAATTATGTATACTATCATATCATCTGCAAATAGAGATACTTCAAGTTCTTCCTTTCCATTTTTTGTTTGTTTATTTTTGTTTGATTTGGTTTCGTTTTTCAAGACAACGTTTCTTTGTGTAAACTTGGCTGCCTAGAACTTGCTAAGTAGACCAGGTTGGCCTTGAACTCACAAAGATCCACCTGCCTCTTCCTGCGAAGTGCTGGTATTAATGGAATATACCACCACCACCTGGCTTTTCTAATTTGATATCCTTCTGTTGTCTTATTTCTCTCTCTAGAACTTCAAGTACTGTGTTGAATAAATTGTCCTTTTCCTGATTTTTGTGGAATGGCTTTGAGTTTCTTTTAATTTAATTTGATTTTGGCTGTGGGCTTGCTTAAATTGCCTTATTATGTTTATGTATGCCCACTTTATCCCCAACCTCTCCAGGACTTTTATCATCAAGGGGTGTTGGATGTTGTCAAAGGCCTTTTCTGCCTCTAATGAAATGATCACATGTTTTTTCTTCTCAGTTTGTAGTAAATTTTGTTAGTTATTAAATGGTTACTCTAGCTTGCTTCTTAGGTCCATTTTCTTGGGATAGCTTTTGCCAACCCTTTATCCTGAGGTATTATTTATCCTTTATGTTGATATTTGTTTCTTAGATACAGCAGAAGGGTAGATTATGTTTTTGAGTTCATTTTGTTAGTCTGTGTCATTTTATTGGGGAGTTGAGCCCATTAACACTGAGAGATATCAATGACCAGCCATTGGTTCCTGTTATTTTGTTGTTGCTGGTGGTAGTGATGCTGGTTGTGTGTGTACATTTCCCTCCTTTTGAATTTGCTGGTGTGAGATTATTTATTCCCTGTGTGTAGTTAAGCCCCATGTATTGGAGTTTTTCCTTTTTTAGCTTCTTCTGTAGGGTTGGATTTGTAGATAGATAATGTTTAAATTTGACTTTATCATGGAATATCTTGTTTTCTCTATCTGTGATTACTGAAAATTTTGCTGTGTATAGGAATCTGGGCTGGTATCTCTGGTCTCTTATGGTCTGCAGCACATATGTCCAGAACCTGCTAGCTTTAGAGACTCCATTGAGAAATTGTGTGTAATTCTTCCTTTATATGTTACTTGCTCTTTTTCCATTGCAGCTTTTAGTATTCTTTGTTCTGTATGTTTAGTGTTTTGATTACTATGTGGTTAGGGAGCTTTATTTTCTGGTCCAATCTATTTGGTATTCTATGTGTGTCTTGTACTTCTATAGGTAATAGCCTTATTTAGGTTAGGAAAATTTTCTTCTCCATATTGTTGAAATCATTTTGAGGCCTTTGAGCTGGGATTCTTCTCCTTCTTATTATTTGTAGGTTTCATCTTTTCACAGTGTTCTGATTTCCTGGATGTTTTGTGTCAGGAATATATATGTATGTATTGCAAGATGTATATATCTATTTTTTCTACTGTATCTTCAGCGCCTGAGATTCTCTCATCCATCTCTTCCATTTTGCTGGTGATGCGTGCCTCTGTAATTCCTGTTAAAGTTCCTAAATTTTTCGTTTCCAGATTCTCTGTTTGTGTTTTCTTTATTGCTTCTATTTCTATTTTCAGTTACTAAAAAGTTTTAATCCTTTCCTTCAACTGTTTGTTTCCAATTTCTTAGATTTCTTTCAATGAACAGCTCATTTCCTTCAATTGTTTGTGTTTTCCTGGATTTCTTTAAAAGACTTATCCATTTTCTGTTTTATTTATCTTCTACCTGCTTCATCTTTTTCTCCATATCTATTCCTCTATCATCTTCATATTGTTGGTTTTAAGGTCTTTTTTTGTGCTTCAGCTACATTAGAATTATTCAGGACCTGCTGTTGTAAGGTAGCTAGAACAATGTTTCTGAGAACAAGCGGGGAAAGAAAAGCCAAGACCCTCTTCTTCTTCTGCCACTAGTTCCTAGAGAAGATTCTTTTGTGTCTTTGGTTTGGGTCATTCCTAAGCAGAGAGCTCTTGGATTAAAGGTGTGTGCTAGTGAGTAATGCAATCTGGGGTTTAACAGTGTGGTCAAATATCCTGCAAATAAAACTCATGAACATTATGTGCTACACAGTTAGTAGCACACACTTCAAAAGGCATGTGGATGGGTATAGATTCTACAGCCATAAGTCCATTATTGAATGTGTAGGAGAAAGAGATAGATGGCTAGAGTTTGAGGGATTTGAGGAAGGAGACCAAAGGAGGAGCCATTAGTCACTAAAAAGTACATTATTCAGTCAAGAATATCACCCTCTCCTGGACAGTACTACTACTTGTGACATTACTGGAATAGAAGCATTTATGTGTCTTTTGGTATTCAGTCTTCCAAAAAACAAAATTCATAAGGTAAGGATAACAAGGTTATTTATCTAATTGCTGAGAAAATAATATGTAGGACAGATTTTTAACAACGGTTCTTTATTCTACCAAAATTTTAAACACACATACATGTGTGTATGTATGAATACATATATATATAAATATATAAGTATATACATGTGTATGTTTATATGAAAACAATCAAGCTAATAATACTTAGCCCAACGTTTTACATGCCAGCAATTAGATAATCATAAAGGATATAGATTCTTATTAAAATGACAGAACATATGGAATACTGTACATAATGTCCCTGTGAGATTTATTAGAAATAACCTTCAGAAAAGTCATTAGAAACATCAACATAAGAATTCCTAGTGAAAACCAAATGTATAGCTATACACCCTGAACTAAAAATGATACACGTATAGAATGTTATTAAATAAGGCAATGCACAAATTATTATCTACACATTGGCCAGAACAATGAGTAATTATAGAACAGTAATTCCTGTTGTCATTGAAAAAAGAATATTCAGAGGTACTATTGTGATGTTAAGTAAAAAAAAAAGTACCTCCCAAAGTGTCATATCTGAATAGGAAATATCAGTATGAAATTATGTGTTTTATTTATATTGGTAAATTTGCTAAACACTTTTTATTTCTGATGAAAATATTAAAAACCAATGTCCAGTTAGTGAATGACCAAGTTATGGGCCTAGAGATGAATTTTCCCATTATTAGAAGCCAGGACTTTTGAAGAATTGCCTGATTCTGAGGTTTGGCACAGGAAAAGGACAAGATGAACCTGGGACATTCTGACACACATTACAAAGACATTTTGTAAATGACCCCAGAGATAACTGAAGACGCTCCAACTAGTCAAAGAGAGCATTTTAACTTTCAGAAAGGCTAGGAGTTAAAGTGGATTGAAATCCACAGGATATGAAAAAAATCATTAGTTTATGGAGGTTATATTTAGAAATTACTTTACTAGTATGACAATTTTTTTTTATTTTATGTTTTCCAAATTCCAGGTCAAAAGAAGAAAATCAAGTTTAATCTGTCTTTCCTAGTGGAGCTTTATCACTAAACATCAAAGAGTAGATGAGAGGTAAAAGATCCTTATAAGATCATTATAACCAATTAATATCATGGCAGTTGTAAACTTAATAACTACAAGTTGCGGCTTGAGGGAACAGATGGGTCTGGGGTGAGTTGAGTGTTAATAACCCCTAACATTGCCAAGCAGTTGAAGACTAGGAACTATTTACTTCCTGATTACAGAACATGCCAGCACAAATGTCCTAGCATCCAGGGGCTAGTATGAAAGAAATCCAGACTGTGAGGAGTGTCTGCAAGTACTTCAGATCCTATTGGAGAAATACTGACGGACTCAGAGAAACTTCAAATCAGTGACTCAGGGTATTGGATGGCTATAAACAAAAGAGCAGATGAAGGAGTCATCTGTCAGCAAGGAGCTAAATAGAAATATCACTGTTTTAAGTGTCAAGACAAATGATAACATTTAGAAACACATTCTATCATGCTGAAACAATTAAAAATGAAAAATGAAGTTACTATCATAAGAATCAGGATATTTGTTTCCTTGTTGGGAGACAAGCCAGGGTAGAGACACAGAATATAGAAGAGGTTCCATAGGTTGGGAAATGACTCTTGCTGTGGAATACTATTTTAAAGTGTATTATATTAATTTATGCTGTGGAATATTTGTTTAATGATGCAAAGATGTCTTGCATTCTTTCATGTAGCATTTGTTTAACTCTGTGAAGCTGTGTTACTTTGTCTGTCTAAAACAACTGGCTGGTTTAATAAAGAGATGAATGTCCAGTAGCTAGGCTGGAGAATGGATAGGTGGGGTTTCCAGGCAAAGAGAATAAATAGAAAGAGAAATCTGGGAAGAAAGACAGAGGAGTGAGAAAAGGAGAGGAGGACATCAATGACCAGCCACCCCACTACACAGCAAGCCATGGAGTAAGAAGAAAGGTGTATAGAATATAGAAAGATAAAGTCCCAGAGGCAAAAGGTAGATGGAATAGTTTAAGAAAAGCTCTCTAGAAACAAGGTAATGCTGGGCATTCCTAAGTAATAATAAGTCTTCTCGTGATTATTTGGGAGCTGGGTGGCGGGTCCCACAAAGACCAAAGAGTAGAAAAAAATATCCAACTAAAACTCACAACTCGTTCTTGGTAACATTTGCAAGGAAATGATAACAGTCCACTGATCTTATAACCCACTTGTTTTGAGTTTCATATGTGTTTAGATTTACAAAAAAGTGGAAAAACAATATAGAAAGGTTGAGTAATGTTAATGGCATGTCAGGACACAATCAAATAGTAAAATGAATATGAAGAGGAATTTATTTGGGGCAAGACAGTATCTTCTTTTTGCCAGTGAATTATAAGGCTTTTTGTACTCATTCAACAGAAACATTTACTGTGTGCCCATCAAGCATCTGGGCCATACCAGGTGCTTCAGCTCTTGGAGAATTTAGAAGATACACCAGTTATTTTTATCAGCTGGGAGTGCGGTGAGATAAACAAAATCACAGAAGATCTTCCCACACAGAATGGCATCCAGAGAGTTGGTTTTGCAAATTAACAGAGTGAAAGAAACTGGAGAGGAAGGAGGGGGGGGGCAGGATTAAAAAGTTGCTAGTTCGCCAGAGACTGAAAAGCAAAAAAAAAAAAAAAAAAAAAAAAGGTTCCATCCTCATACATTCCTAAACTGAGTCTAAGCATGTGTGTGTATGTCCTGATCAGGAACGAGCTAAACCAAAGTCACAGAAGGATCTTCTCTAGGAACTAGTGGCAGAAGAAAAAGAGGGTCTTGGGAAACATTGTTCTAGAATTTAATACCAAATCTTTAATTCGATTTTACGTGTTATTTTTATGAGTGGAGACTGGGCACTTTGTTATGACTAAGTCATCAATAACAGCTTATAGTTTTTATTTTTTTAATGTATGACCACATACTAAAACTAGGTACTAGAAGATGACTTTTAGAGGCATTTTTGCCATCAGGGAACAATTTGCCACATCAGTGGCCCAATATTTCTGTCCTCAACAGATAAAAGAAACCGATGGACCCACAGCAATTTAATTTGGGCTCTTTGTTGGTCACGACTCTAACAAGTGAACAGAAGGACTTATCTGTTAGAAATTCTGGTGAACAGCTTGTTGCAAGATTAATCAAAACAAGTTCTATTCAGACCAAGTTTGTCACTTTGGCACACAAGGTGATGACAAAAATTGACCTTCCTGTGGGCTTGGAAGTGAGGCTGGATGAGAAGAAAAAGGAGTGTGTTGGTCATTGCTAAGTGTTCGTGTATGAAGACTTTGTATCTGTTCAACTGTGGGGTAACTGGTGGATTTCTGCCATCTTCAAACTCTTCCTTGAAAATCTGCCAAAAATGTAACATGAGAGTATTATTACTTGCATTTCAAATGACCATATTAAAGATATTGACCTATAACCTTATTTTCAGCAATCATGCTCTAAATTTGGTAGAAGAATTAGATTAGATTAGATTAGAAAATATTCTCCCTATGTAGCACCATTGCCTCCAAAGTGTCAGTAGTGTGGCAAGAGAGAGCTGGTTGCGAATACAAAGCTAAAAGAAATCCGGCTTTGCTTCTTTGGTGTTAGCACTTATGGGTCATTGAAAATGAGGAGACAACTCAGAGTAGGATCACAGAGGTAGCCCTAATCAGAGGCTGTCAAAGATGCTAAAAGTTTTGAAGATAATTCCTCCAGAAAGAGAAATTTGAGGTGAATTCACTATTTACATTGAGTGGTGTGTGTGTGTGTGTGTGTGTGTGTGTGTGCACGTGTGTGTGGGGGTGCGTGGTGTGTGTGTGTGTGTGTGTGTGTGTGTGTGCACATCGTTCAGAACTCAATATTAGGCATGTTTCTCTATAGCTCTTCACTCTATTTTTTGATCCAGTGTTGCTCACTGAAACCAGAAGTTCACTGTGTGGCTACACTAGTCCCCAAATCTACCTGTTTTTCTGAGCCACTCTCACCCCAAGTCCTGGGATTTCAGGCATGAGCCACAATGCCCAGCTTTTTATACGGGTACTGGGGATCCAAATTCGAAGTCCTCGGGCTTGCATAGGAAGCACTTTATCAATTATGCCGATCCCCAGACCCCTACCCTTTACTTTTAAAGGTCACTATTGTTTACTACGGAGCCCTTTATACACCCCAGGGATATCTGACTACATATGGAGGAACTTTTTGGTTTCACAACTGTTTTGGCTGGGCATCTGCTTCTGATTCAGATTGTGCTGATAATTGTGTAGAAGACAGAGCTATTAAGCATCCTACAGTGTGCAAGACAGTCAGCCTAAAAAGTATTCTGCCCTTAATACCAACAACATTGAGTGAGAAAACTTTATCTGCGGCCTCTGGTTGTTTCTTTGTCTCTAAAGCCTAAGTGTGTGAAATTTGTCTTATAGCAATAGAGAATTCCCTTACAACTGAGCTTTTCAATTTGAACACAATTATAAAAAATGTATTTAAGTGTTTTTAACTATCTGTAAATAATTGTTATATAATTCCTTCTTTAGATTTCTTCAAGAGTTGTACTTCCAAAGAAGGAGACCCAAAGTCTATTTTGGATCAGAAATGACAGCCTTATTTGATAATTGTATAAGTTCATGATTTAGGTATATGCATCTACAATAAGTAAAAAATGTATGAGAGCCTTCTTTAACAGTTGGAGAAAATGAAGTCAAGAGAGACTGATGGATAACTTGAAGGTGAACTTACTAGCCGGTGCCACTACTCTGTGTGTGAGTGTGTGTGTGTGTGTGTGTGTGTGTGTGTGTGTGTGTGCATGGAGGCCAGAGGTCAACATCAAATGTCTTTCTTAATGAGACAGGGTCTCTTGATGAACTGCAAGCTCACCCATTGGGCTCAACTAGCTGGCCAGGGAGCCCCAGGAATCCTGTCTGCACTCCTCAGCACTGTTGTTTCAAGCACTTACCTTTACTCCCAGCATTTTACATGAATGTTGGGGGTCCTTAAGTCAAGATGGAATAGAGTCAATTTTGTGGGCTCTCACAGTTACATACAGGAATATGGATGAAGAGTTACTTGTAGGAGTAGAGGTGACTCAAAGACAGATGCATCAGAAAAGCTCATTCCAGCATGGGAGACAGCTTACAAAAGCCAAAAGCTTGGAGCACACGGTACAGCCAGTAGGTGCTCAGCAAGCTGTAGAGTGTCCTTTCCTGGAGTTGGCTCAGTGTGAGCCTCTTTCAGTCAGCTCAGATGATCATTGTTTCTTCTAGGCAGTTCAGCTGTTGCCTGCTTCTTCTAGGTGGGGCTTGTCTGAATCTTTGCAGCTCGCCTTAGCTGAGATTGACCTCAGCGGTTTTTTCTGTTTAGTACCTTTGCAGAAGGAGGAACCTAGTAAATATGGTCAATTTCAGGGACTTCTTGCAACTAGTTTGAGTTGTTACTGGCTGTCTTAATGAGCTTCCCTGCAGAACAGAATGTTTCAATCTTGGAAGAAACTGCTACACAACTTCCATCTACTCTAGAAATCAGTATGGAGAACCCTTAAAAAGCTAAAAATAAATCACCGGTATGATTCAGCCATACCACTCCTTGGCATATGCCCAAAGGATTTGATAATCTACTCCAGAGATACTTGCTCAGTCTTATTCATCACTATTCTAGTCATAAGAGCTAGGAAATGGAAACAACCTAAATGTCCTTCAACCAATAAACACATAATGAAAATGTGGTGCATATATATTATAGAATTCTATTCAGCTGTAAAGTAACATAAGATGAAATTTGCAGGTAAATGGATGGAACTAGGTAAGCTCATACTGACTGAGATAACCCATGTCCAGAAAGACAAATAGTGCATGCTGTCTGTCATCCGCAGTTCCTAGCTTCAAATTTTTTGATATAAGTATATAACCTGCAGCAGTCACTAAAACAGTAAAAGGAACATAGCTGTGCAGAGAAGCAATAGAGAAGGGAACAGTAGGGTACAAGTGACATGGTGTGGGAAATGGGGAGGACTTTAGTTGGGGAGTAAGGAGAATAATGCAGAAAGAGATGGAGGGAGGAATATAAAATAACAGGAAGAGTATCAGAAAAGTCTTAAAGACCAACACTATTATTAATTTACCTATAATTTCATACAATACAAATAGGCCTGGATACATACACACACACACACACACACACACACACACACACACACACACACACACACACCACTACCATCAGGGCTAACAAAACTCTCTCCAAGAGCCATAATTATCTGACAAAATCCCCAACATGAGGGCCACCTGTCCAGAAATAGTACCGTGTTCAATGTGCCTGGCCCTTCTACATTAATAATTAATTAAGAAAGTTTCTTACCTATTTGCCTACATGCTAATATTATGAAGGCATTTTCTCAATTATTGTTCACTCTATTGAGACAACTCAAACACATACACACTCAAAGACATACACTATGCAGCCCAGACTCACTTTAGACTCATGCTTTTTGTGTTTCAGTCCCCCAAGTGCTAAGATTATAATTTATACCTGGATTGTGTATACATTTTATAGGTGAACAAACTTTATTTCTTTTTTGAGATGGTTTATATACCTGCACATTGTAACACAATTGCTAGGACCTAAGACTCTGTTGGCTTACCCTTATTACCCAAGGCCACATTTGCAGAGGGTTCACTTGTAGTGAATAATTCTGTGAGCTTTGGCTACTGGGTAATGATAGGTACTCACTGTTGTGGTATCCTGTGGGATAATGCTAGTCTAAAAAATACCTCTTGGTTCTACTTTTTCATTTTTTCTTCCTCCAAACTGCTTGCAATCAGTCATCATTTTATTTCTCACTTTGCAGAATGTTGGCTGGTTGGAATCACACAGTATGTAGTAACTTTTAAAGCTCATCCTCCTTCAGTTAGCACTATGCAGTTAAGTTTCCTCAATGTCCTTTCATAGCTCATTTCTTTTTAGTGCAGAGTAATCATACAGTTCTCAATGAGTCAACATTTTCTTACTTACCTCCTGAAGGACAGCCAATGCCTACAGATTTTCATAATTTTGTATCAAGACTTTGTGCAGGTCAGTGAACTTGTCTAAGTACTGTGGACTGATTGACGTTTTATGTGGCGTGTTGTTCTTTTGTTTAAGATAAAGACATGCGATGGAACATGAACCATAGAGAGTACATTAACCATAGAGTTTATTAAAGGGGGAGGGGGAGAGCAAGAGATAGATAGAGAGAGAGAGAGAGAGAGCCTCAGTTTCCATGACTTGGTATAATATGTTGTTTAGTACTGTTGGAGTTGGATTAGTAGCTTATCAGAATTTTATTGATTAATGTTAAGACTATGAACAGTAGCGTAATGAGAAATATCTGATAACTTGTATCTGTATTTGTATACTTTAAGTTACTTTAAACCAGTCATCACACTACATCATAGTTCTTGAGAAGGATAAAATTTTACCTGAGTTAGTTATTACAGAATGAGAGAGAATTGCTAGCTGGCCCCATAGACAGCCATCCCCAAGGTTCTCCATAGTTGTTGAGGGCAGCAGCGTTAAGGAGACCTGCCTTGTGCTGATAGCATGGGACCTGTGGATTAGGAGTAGTAAGAAAACTTGCCTACCGTTTGCCCTAGCCACGTGGTGACAGTCCTCTTGTCCATGATCTGAAGAGTCCTTTGCAGCAGTTGAGGTGAAAGGCAGGGCTGCTCAGTGGCTAGCATTGCCACCTTTGTAGGTGGAGTTTCTTCAGTGCTCACCAGTGTTCTGGTGAAATGGAAATGGGGCGGGGCCAGAAGCTGGCCTATCTCTCTGTTACAAAAAAGCTTTCAATAAAACATTTTAAATGCCATATTCTCTAGACCTTGGAGCATTTGAGGGCTGTCTGTCTGTTTAGTATATCTCAGTAGACAAAATTCGTCTTTAATTACTTGCCTTAAGCATATAGGTAGCTACAGATTAGTACAGGATCTGTCTGGAGAACTGAGAGGCTGTGGAGGGATTTTTTAATTAGAGCCCTCCAGCCTCATTGTAACTGTTTTTAACTTAGTAGGTTAGATTTGGACCTATAAAGGACAAAGAAGTAGAGTAAAATCCCCTTTGTAATAGAAGCTTTACCTTTGTAAACAGTTTACAGGAAGGACTGGATGATATAAATACTTTGTTACCTTTATAACCTTAAATTTTTACCATCATTTAAAAATACATAACTATTTGGAAATATTTGAGACTTAGCATACTTGAATTTAAGTTGCATAGAGTTATCTTACATTCACATATATAATGTTAAACTTAAATCACATGTATAAAGACAAGCAGATACATCAAACAGGACTGGATAAGAGTAAAAGGGAGAACCAGAGTATAATCTCTGATTTGCAGGTTGTAGCAAACAGACAGATTTAAAGAGACAGAGTAGATTTAAAACTGCCAGAGACAAGAAAGCAGATCTGCTGCAGATAGAACAGGGGGCCCTGGAAAGGTACAGTATTCGATAAACAAGTCATGCGCAACAGGGCCAGTGAAAGAAGAAATTAGAGACAAAAATAAAAGACAAATTTGTGTCTGTCAGCTGGCTAGACTGCAGAAGCTGGCTAGACAGCCCTCTGCCAAGGCTGAGGGAAGGAGCAACCCAACAGAGTGGGCATAGCTACAGCTAGGTCACGTGGTCAAGATAGCTGCTTCCATAAGCATGTTCCTGTCTGCCGGCAGAAGTGGCTTTTTTCTCCACGAGTGAGACAGAAAAGTTGTGTGAAACCAACAGGACACCAGAGTCCAAGTGGCACAACATCCAAAAAGACCACCATAGGTCTGAGAAACGAATGCACCAGTCAGTACAAAGCTGGGAAACCTCAAACCTCATTCGTGGGCAAAAAATGAAAAATAAAAACTCCCAGAGCGTTCTGAGCAGACATTGCCACAGGCCAGCTCACTGTGAGCCCATGACATCTGCATGGAGAGGAAACAGCGGTAGCAGAGCAGCAGAGAGTCAGAAGAAAGCTTAGAAATGGAGCAACTCCTTTCATTTACCTGTGCCCTGGCAGTAGCCTGAAAGTCCTGTAAAATGTAAACTGCCAATTTGACGTGTATTTCCCGTGGATGAGGCCAAAGATGACTCAGTACAAGCTCAGAACTCTTCAGCCTGAGAGAGTGGCCAGGGACAAGGCCCGACAAAGGACTCAGCAGTCCGAAAGATGGTAAATTAACTACTGGAGGCTTAAAGCTGAAACAGACTGCTCAGCGAGTGTGGTGCTGGGACTCCTCCGTGGGAAATGTACCGACCAGGAGAAGGGGTGTCTTACCGGGTCGCAGCAAACAGGTAGACGAAAAGTGGGTTTTCGGTTTAAGAGAAGGATTCCCGTGTCTCCAGTGGCTGCTACCTGGCAACGGGAGAGATTATGGGCAGAGAGCCCCCAGGGTTTTCACAGCACCAAATATTGTTCTTTTGCTTAAGATAAAGATGGGCGATGGAACACAAACCACAGAGAGAGTACATTGACCACAGAGTTTCTTAAAGGGGGGATGGGAGAGAGAGAGAGAGAGAGAGAGAGAGAGAGAGAGAGAGAGAGAGAGAGAGAGAGAGAGAGAGAGAGAGAGAGAGAGATGGAGGGAAGGGAAGGAGGGAGGGAGGGAGGGAAGGGGGAGACAGAGACAGAGAGACAGAGAGAGCGGGAGAGGGGAGGGGGAAGGGAGGGAGAGAGACAGAGAGAGAGATACAGAGATGAAGAATGTAAGAGAGAGAGGGGAGAGCCAGAGAGAGAGAGAGAGCACAAAAAAGCATAGGTGGGGGGGTCTGTCTTTTAAAGGGGTCCTTTACACCTGAATGCAGACTTAATACTCATGTAACCCTGAGCTGACCAGAGTAGTGCCTGAGTGCATTCTGCCAGGTAACAGGGGCAGGCCAGCATAATGCCTTACATGGCATGTGCTTAATTTTAAAAGAAAATCTTCCCCCTTCACATTCCCACCAAGAATAAGTAAGAATCCCATTGTTCCACATCCTTATCAGTGTTTGTGTTGCCAGTGTTTTGAGCTGGGCCATCCCACCAGGTGTATAATAGTATTTTTTTAGTTTGCAATTCCCTAAAGGCAAATGCTATGGTTTGACAATATTCCCTCCAAAGTTTGGATGGTATCAATTAGAGTAGTAAGAGGTTGGCTTTTAAAGACTGGGCTGTGTGACTTCTTTCCTGATTATGGAATTACTATGTAATGCTTGCAAACGCGGGTTTACATTTTAGCCTGTAGCAATGTAAGGATGCAGAAAGTGGGTCTTCAACAGATACATCCAGTGACAGTACCTTGTTCTTTAACTTCTATTTTTGAGAATAGTGAATTTCTCCTGATAAAGATCAGAATATCTTTAATGCAGGTAGCAGTTAGGCTGGCTCCCATGAGAAACTTTGGCTTAGAAAACAGTGAAATGCTCAAGGTGACATCGTTTGTACATGATGGAGCCTGTTAAAGGTCAAGTCATCTTGATTCCAGGGCACATATTTTAAAATTGGCATCTTTCTACCCCAATTCATGGTGATTTCACATCTCTTTCTGGTATCTATTTATTTTGTAAAGTTACATACAGGGCTTATGCATATTTACAAATACCACCTGAAGTGTTGACATACATACACATTGTGTAATGTTCAGAGTAAACAATCTAGCTATGTAAATAAGTATCACTCCCTTATAGTGAGAATATTCAATTTTTTCTGCTTTAAACATATATACATAGTATATTATCACCATCCATTATCAGCCCAACATGCAGTAGAATATTCTTACTTCTTTTTCCTATATACCTTTAATTTAGTAACCATCAGTACACATTCACCACCTTTCTTCCCTTCACAGCCTCTTACAAGCATGCCCAACTTCTATTAGATTCTTTTAAGATTCCATACTCGTGTGAATTTAAATGATAGTTGTTTCTCTTTGTCTGGTTTATTTCCTTATCGAAGCGGTCTCTTATTCTCCCTAAAGTGATCTTTTTTCTTTGGCTTGTTCTTGTCATGGATTCCATTATATTTAAATGAAGAGCCAGCATTGCTTACCCTTTGGTTGTTGTATGATGTATTTTACACATTGCTTAGTTTGATCTAGTAATTTTTGAGGGTTTTTATATCTATGTTAACATGACACATTGGTCCATAGTGTATCCTTCCATCTTTTTGTTTTGTTTGGTTTTGTGACAGGGTTTCTCTGTGTAGCTTTGGAGCCTATCCTGGAACTCATTCAGTAGACCAGCCTGGCCCTGAACTCACAGAGATCCACCTGCCTCTGCCTCCCGAGTGCTGGGATTAAAGGTGTGCACCACCAAGACCTGGTTCTTCCATCATTTTTATAAAGGTATTTATTATTTTATGTGTATGGTGTTTTGCCTACATGCATTTTTGTGTACATGTGTGTCTAGTGCCCAACTAGGAGAGGATGTCAGGTCCCTTGGGACTGTACTTACAGACAGTTCTGAGGAACCGTGTAGTTGCTGGGAATTGAATCTGGCTAATTTGGAAGAGCAGCCAGTGCTCTTACTGTTGGGCTATTTTTCTACTTCCTCATTTGATCATTTTAATGCTTTTTTTAATATCTGAAAAGCATGACACGTTTCCTTGCTCTGACAGCTATTCTATCTAGAATTACTGTGGACCCTCTACCTTCTTTTGACTAATAATATTTTCCATTCCTTTACTTTTAATCTATTGTTGATAATTTTTAAAGTGGGTTTCTTAGAAACAATATACTATTGGATTTTGGAACTTGTTTTCCTCCCTGTGTTGTAGTTTCTTTCCACTTGCAGACAGGTTATTTGGCTTACAGTTTGAGGGTGTCTATCCAGCGGGTGGTGCAGGGGAGAGCATGGGAGCAAGAGCTTGACCTCAGCTGGTCTCCTTGTGTTAGTATTTAGGACACAGGCCACAGACTGGAAATGGGGCCAGGTATCAAACCCGGATTCCATTTCCGGTAGTCTACTTCCTCTAGCAGCCTTTTACATTTTAAGAGTTCTACAGCCTTCGCAAATGGTGCTACTGGCTGAGCACACATGGTCAAACATGAGTCTATGGGGGCATTTAACTTTCAAACTACAACAGAGGGCATCTAGAGGTCTTGGAAGTTCACAGGAGAATTCCAAGAAGAAAGAATGTTGAAATGCATGTTTTCTTTTTCAGCCACTGTGGTAGATTTGAATGGGAATGGTCCTAGTAGGCTCATATATTTGAAGATTAGGTTCCCTGTTGGCAGACTATTTAGGAAGGATTAGGAGGTGTTGTTGGAGGAGGTGTGTTGCTGGTGGTAGATTTTTAAGTTTCCAAAGTCCACTTAGTACCCAGTCTTGTCCTCTCTTCCTCCCTCCCTCCCTGCCTCCCTCCCTCTCTCCATCCCTCCCTCCTTTTCTACCTTCTGCCTGCAGAACAGGATCTAAACACTCAGCTACTGCTTCAATGCCATGCCAGCCTGCCTGCCACCATGATCCCCTATGTGACAGTCATGGACTGACCCTCTGAAACTGTAAGCAGGCCCTCAATTAAATGTTTTCTTTTAAAAATTGCCTTGGTCAGTGTCTTTTCACAGCAGTAAAACAGTAGCTATGATACCCAATCTGACAACTTCTGCCATTTGAATGTGATGTTTAGACAACGGTATTAGGCCTTAAAGTATTTAGTGATGAATATCTGGGTTATAGCATTATTTGTTTTCTCATCTCTTGCCTTTGTTGTTTGTTTTTGCCTTCCACACCATTTCCATCTTCTGCTTTCTGAATTTCGTAATTTATTGGGTTTCTTTTTTTTTTTTTTTGGTTTTTCGAGACAGGGTTTGTCTGTATCAGTCCAGCCCAGCCTCGAACCCATAGAGATCCGCCTGCCTCTGCCTCCCGAGTGCTGTGATTAAAGGCGTGTGCCACCACCACCCGGCTATTGGGTTTCATTTTTTTCTCTTTCTTGACATGCCGATTTTATATTTCCACTTTTACTTTTGTTACTTTTTAAAATGGTTGTTACAGAGTTTGAAGTACATTTACAGCTCTTTCATGTCTGCTCTAAAATAACACTACTTCGCTGGCTTTGCAAGTACTCCATAATCACAAGAGATTCCTGATTCCCTCACCCTGGCCCTTGTTTCCTTGCTACTGTTCAGTTCATTTGATGGTGCCACACATATGTGAGCATTATTATTATGAGCAATCAATCATCAATAAAACCATCAAAAATAAAAGTTTTGTATAGCTTTCATTTATTCATCCTCTGATGTTTGAGGACTTTTGTTGGTATTTGTTTTTGGTATTTCTACCTGTGGTAGCAAGAGATACAGCTGATTGCAGCTAGTTGACCAAATGCCCTACCACTAAACTACACCTTTAGTCCTCTTTTTATTATGTAGATTTTTCCTTCTGTGTAGAATTTCTTCATACCTTCAATATATACACGATAAAGGATACAGGTTTTTCTGTTTTGTTTTTGTTTTGTTTGCTTTTTATCCTATTTGGTGTTTACTGAGTTTTGTGAGTATATGCTTAATTGGAGCATTAAGTTTTAGAAAATACTTTGCCGTATTACAACAAATAGTGCTTTTCTGCAGTTTTTGCATGTTCTTTCATGCATTCCCGCTACTTTTTTGGTAGTTTTCTCACAGTTCTCAGATTTTCTGTTCATTTTCCTTCTATCTTCATTCTCTGTGCTTTCAGACTTGGAAGTTACTGCTCATCAGTGCCATTGCTCCTTCATGTCAGAACTCAACACATTTCTAGGTTTCAATGAAAGGCTAACTATGGATACAGGAGTGCCTACTGTGAGAGTTTGCTGATTTACATAATAGACAAACATATATATTTTATTCATATTTAACTGTGATAAACTACTTAGAATTTTGGACATGAAAGTTACACATATGGCTCTGAGGTGAAGGAGAAATGGAAAAAGAGGATTATGAGTCATCAGTAAAAGGCTTCAGAATGTATGTGTTTCCAGGTAGGTTTTGAAGTAGGGATGTGAACCATGATAGTTTAAGATTGGAAGCTGAGATGACAAGAATTCACTGATGTGATTTTGTCTTTCTTTGTTTGGCTGTCTTGTTCATCATCTTTAGTCTGAATACACTGGCTTTTATTCATAGATCCTTGAACTTCACAGGCAATCTGTAAAATCAGAATCTCCCGGGGTTTGACATGCATGGCTTCTCATCCCGGTACACACAGCCCAGCTGTGCCTACCCACTGACCTTTGGGAAGCACTGAAATAAAGGGTTTGGAGTTGTTTTCAAATTCTGCTCTGCTACTTCCTCATTGTATCACCTGGAACCAGTTACACGATCTCTCTGTACTTCAGTTATTCCACCTATAATGAGGGAACAATGACCAAGGAGCAATAGAGCTGCAATGTGTAAGGTG